TATATATATATCATTGAATAAATGTTGTCACGTGACAACTTATTATATATGCAAAACATCTTTAAATTTATTTTATTAATAAATCAACTAAACTTGTTGCCTTAAATATGCATATCCGCAAGTCTTAATGAACAGACATCCAAGTCTCGTTCAACTAACGCACGCCTACGTTTCTCAATCAAATTCTTCATCCTCAGCAGGGATGCAGAAGGTACAACAGGCTCACAATCTCAGGGATGCACAAGGCACACAACCATTCCAAGACACAAAGCACACACACACATCAGCAGTTGTATCAAGATGAATTAGCTCGCAAACCAATTGATTTGATAATTTTCTCCAATTCACACACATACCATGCATACCACAACCAAACAAATCAGCATATAGGAGCTTATTAACTCGGGAACACAGTCACTTCCATATGACAAAGCAAATGTAAGTGCATTACAAGGAAACACTTTAAAAAAATGAAATGCTTCACTGAGGAAAAGAAATGTATGTATATACTTCGATTATTTCCATGGCGCTTTGAGTCAAAAATGTTTATTTATGATACAGATGATAGCCTATGAATCATTCTTGAAGAACAACAACAGATGAATTAGTGAAGAAGAAAAATCAAGAACCAAAAAAATTACAAAGCAGAAGAAAGTCCACTGGCTAGGGCTTCAAACATCTTATGACTGAGCTTGGACATTCACTGATGAGACTTTCCTCTGAAACTTTTCTCTTAGCTGTCTGATCTTGGCGTCCACTCTTGCTGTAAAACCAATTTTGGTCTTCTGCCTTGCTTTGGACCTCTCCCTCTTCCACATATGCTGGTCCTCCACATCCTTCTTATAGTATTTGATCTCTTGAATCACATGATGATCAAGTGGATTTAAGGCTCTCTGGAAGGAGATATGTGCCAGATAAGGAATGTTGCAGGCAAGAGTCACTAAAAGTGTTGCAGCCCAATATACAGGAGCAGGGCCGAGGGCTTCCAAGAGTATCTGGTAGGCATTTCCAGATATCAACGGCGAGGATATTCCATAAGCGACCAGAAAGAGGTACCATGTGGCCACACTGCCCCAGACAAAGAGGTGCTGGATCCATGTTAAGTGGCTCATTGTTAAGGCAATTTGCAAGTTCACAGCCCAAATAATGCAGGTGAACATGGTTGTTCCAACAGCAGCCATGTCTGCCGTCTGACCTTCAGTGCGAAATGCCTGATTGTAGAAAATGTGGATGTTTAGGAAATATATGACAAGGGATGAGTAGAGACCATTGCCCATCCAACCAAAAATCCTATACCAATCGAAGAAAAGATTCCTCGGCCCTTGCTGGTATAATGCTGGGAACTGCAGATGAAACAGTCATGACGATGAAGGTTTGAAATTGAAAATGAATTTGCATAACTAGAAATTATGATAATTGTCCTGAAAGAATGTAACAGGAGGCATAATATGGATTACAGATGATAAATTGCTTGCGAAAAAGAGCAACAAATATTTTGGATATCAGAAACTTATGGATCTGAATGGAGGTCTCACAAAGAACACACTGTCACTTATACACTGCTGTATGACAAGCATACCTGTAAGCATACTTCAGAAGAAACATCTTGTTCGAAGACTCCCAACGATATCACGGGTAATGAGGTTAGAATGACATTGAATAGTAGCATATACCAGTCATCATACACCGACTGCCCAGAGAAACCAGTATATGCCTCAAAATAGAAAATCGTGAGGCCAAAGGCTATGTTTTTGTAGAAGAAATAACAGACCTGAATGCAGTAGTGAAATTGATTCAGATAATGACATGAATGCAAAGATGTCGTGAAATTGTTACCAACACTCACCATCTGTGCTATCCTCTTATAGCACCAGTGGCCATGGACAACAAGGAGCCGTTCAAGGAAACGGAACTGGGAAATGGAGAAATCACTAGCCATCACAGCCTGCAGAAGTTCAATAATTACGAGCATGTTAGCAACTTATGTCTGCTCCCATCCGCCTTAGATGATTCTGAATTCCTATGGAAGAGTAGGCATTTAAGGTGCAGAAGGCATCCCGATATAACACAACAAACCTGCATGCCCTCTACCCCACTAATTCCAACACCAACATCTGCCTCCTGAATCATGCCCACATCATTAGCACCATCGCCAATCGCCAAAGTAGTCTTACCTGTTCCTTCTTTCACCAACCGAGTCACCTAAACCAAGAATAAGCATCACTAACTAAAACTAATATTTTCATTTAACATTACTCTTTGATTATTATGAAAGAAAAAACATGTAAAATATTAAATACTACCAATGCTTTCTGTTTTGGGGAGACCCGGCAGCATATGACGGAAGAACAATCAACTGCTAGACTCAAAAATTGATTCTTCAAGTCATCCTCCAGAGCATATGTTAAAGTTTTACCATCAATTATCAAAGCAAATGCTGCATTAGGATCTTTCTCTAGCTTGATCATTTGAGAGGCATTAGTTATTTGCGTCAAGATATTCTCCTTTGCAACCTGAGCAGTTATTAAACACAAACACAAAGATGCATGAAATCAACATATAGCAGCGAACCAGACTCAGTGCAGTAATTGGAAAGATATGGTTGGTGAAATCATGAACCTTTTTTGTGTCTTGTGACAATATGCCAGTGCTCTCGATGGATAAACAAATGTGTCTCATGCCTTGTCTCAATAAACTGCAAGCAAATCTGCAATAGATATTGGAGCTTTATTGGAGGCCTGGGAAAGATATTGACACCATTTCTAGTGATCGTTTTCTTTATATGTGAGTTACTAGAGACACATACCCTATATTTATTGCAGTCTCCATCTTATCACCTGTAAGAACCCAGATCTTGAGACCAGCTTGTGCTAACTTATCTATGCATTGAGAAACCTGTTAAGAGAGAGTATGGTCAAAGAGCATAAAGAAGCAAAAGTTGGTAGTAAAAGTAAATAACAACGCATACGCCTTTTTGTAATTTGTCTTCTACGGCAGTTGCACCAACAAGAATCAAATCCCTCTCGATCATGTCAGAGACTTGCTCAAGCTCTGTTTCTCTGTCAGGTCCAATTGTAGTTTTTGCTTTAAGAAACTTGGTGTTCCAATCAGAATACTCTGATTCCCCAAGTACCCTGTAAGCCAGTGCCATAGTCCGCAAGCCTGCTTCCCCATATTCATTTAGATGTTTAATTGTCTCTCTCTCATATATTCTGCCGTTTTTTGATA